TATGAATATTGAATTGTTTTGAGTATATATGTCAAAGATTTTAATAGCAGAATTTTAAAGGATAATCCCATGGTATTATGGTGGTGGTGATGATTACTGATAAAGATGATGTTATTAAAAAACCTATGCTAATTGACAATAAAGATAATAAGTATCATGATATTAATATCAAGATATGCATAGAATTACAACTATTATGCATCTGGAATAGAAAAGTATCAATTATAATTTTAATTGATTTTTTTTTTAAGGATGTTGTGTTGAAAAGGAGTAATACTACGGAGAAGCTTGGGTTAACATTGTGTTATGGCGAAGACGATGACACTGGTATTTTTATTAACGAGGTAGATATTTAATCAATTGTTTATTTTTTCATATCGATAATTTTCAAATTAGATCCATATGGTAGTACTAGTAGAACTAACCTTGATAATCATATGGAAGCTTCAGTATATGCCGAATGTTATTCAATTCATAATTATGGATGTTATTAAATTGCTTTATTCCCGTTTGATATAGCATGTGAAATATGGATATTAAAAAATTCTATGAATATTCATATTTTTGGTATTTTGTTTGCTAGACTAAGAGTAGATTATTATTTAGCATTTATCTATATGGAGTATTTACCAGGGTTTAACTACTTACTGAACCAAAGAGAGAGAGAAAAAAAATGCAAGATATACCACATGTTTTTACACAAGGTTTGCAGATTACCATACTTGTATTGCTAGGTTCCAGGTTTCGATCTGTACAAAAATCATATCTTTTTTGTACTGAAAATACATATGTGCAACAAAACTTCTAGAAAATATAAAGCATCCAAAATGTAAGAATTTGTTTATAGTTCCATTAAATATGTATTCATTTATTTCAAATATTGTTTTATTGTTAAAGATAAAAAGAAATATATGATAACATATAACATTTACAACCATGTTTGTTTTCTTCTATTTATATTAATTTTTTTTTACTTAGTTAAAAATCTTTAAGATAATTAGGTAGCTGTTATAGCTGCTTGAAACCCCTTAAAAGTATAAAAACAGAAGGTGGAACTTAAACAAATAGAGCGATTTACTTAATAGTAATAACGTTTTATTATTTCATTAAAAGTCATTGCTAATTTATATGTCAGCCAACATATACAATAATACCATTTCTTCAGAAAGTACAGGTGAACTGGATAGAGATTTTGTTATTTCCACAAAAGGAAAAACTGTGGTTGGACAAAACATGAGTGGGGGATGTCTTTCTAATTTCAAGCTGCCTGTCTTTTTCACTAGGGGTAGCTATATTTCACTGTGACAACAAGCTGAATTTTTTTTTTATTCTCTTAATAAACAGATGTTTAAAAGCTTGTTGAATACTCAGGCCATATGTACTTTGCTTTTCATGGTTAAGTTCAGTTGTGGAGACATTAGGTTTTGCCTTTAAGGAATGCCATATGCCTGGTACAACCACAACATGATAGACTGGTATAGCTGACTTTTGTATAGACTTAAATACTGCCTGGCTCACAGCTTGTGTTTTCCGTGTATGTTGACCTAAAATAAAAATCTATTCCTATAATCAGTAGATATTATGAAAGTATAATTTCGCTTCTAATATATTTTTGTCATATAATTTATTAAAACTTCGGAATTTAAACATTGCTTCATATTGATTTAATGTACTTGATAAATTTGGTTTTAAGCATGCACTAATAATTTTATTTATTATTATGCCAAATTTTAAAGTCCAAAGTATCACAAGACTTAGCAATACTTAGTGTGGATTAAATAAAACATATTCAAATGGAAAAATTTAATCCCTTTCCAACTATAATATGAATTTTGGTCTAGGTTAATTAAACAAATATAGAGATAAAGAAACTTAAAACTAATTTTTAAAAGACTTTTAGTTATGACTAAAAAATTATTATAATTTCTATATAATTATATAAATTTATGATATAAAAGAAGATATAAAGTTTATTTGATAATTGAAATGTCTTATTAGATTCTATATTTTAGAACAGCCCTTGTTATGAAAACTGTGTATTCGATTTTGGTCACAAGCATAAATTAAAACGGTTTACTATGACCTGTCTAGTAAATCAAGTTCGTAGGTTCATGTAATAATCTGATTAAAAATTCTGCTCAGGTTCAGAATTGACGTATCCGCATCGAATCACCGAAGAAAATAATATATATCTTTTGAAGCAGCCCTTCTGGGGATTGTGGAACATTTAATTTGATGAAGTATGCGAAATAAATAAAACATGAGATATATATACTAGAAATATTGGCAGTGTATTACTCTGAGGGTATTCTGTGAAAAAGATGGTTTGTGGGTTTTTGAGCATTTTGTTCCGAATGTAGAGATCAGTAGGAGCTTAGCAGTGGCTGAGAATATGAAATGTAGGAAAAAAAAAACCACCCAGAAAAAAACCACCCAAAATGGACTTTCCCATTGTTAAAGTGGGACTGGATAGTGTTGGGTGGGCTTGTTTTTACCTTTGCTGTAAAATAGAATTAGGCTAGGTATCATTATCCAGGGTGGTTTTTGTCCAATTTTCATGATTGTGTTGTTACCTCTTAGGGTATGGTAGTGTACTATTAGAAAATAATGTAAGAACAGAAAGCAGAACTGGACTAGAAAACAATATATTTTAAGTTTTATAGAATTTATTACCACCAAGGTCATAAAGCAAAGATTTGTCCAATTCTATCATTAGAGCTTTTTTTAAGGAATGTACTGCTGGGAAAAATTGCTTTTTTTTTTTTCAATTTTACTTCCACGGATGACTAGGAAATTTATAGGTTCTTGTGTGATCGATTCACTAATATGAAAGCTAAACTTTTAACGAGAGGAATCGTAATTAATTTGTCTTTGGAGAGATTTGGTAGATTTGTATAGATTTATCATTCTTTTGTGTTGAGATTAGCAGAAAGTAGGCAAACAGATGTCTGTAGACAATTATCAAGTGTTACGCCACCATTAAGACGTTAGTGTTCTGCTGTAATGTTCCATGGATCTCTCTCGGCTGGCAATTGATTCCGATAAACTTTATCCTAAATCATCCTTGTATAATAATACCACCTGATTTCTGACATAGGTGAACAATGATTCCTTACATAACATTGTAATTTATTAAGGACTATCCTTGTAAATCAGTAAAAACACTTCCTAATAAAATAAAATGAACAGTACCTCTAATAGCAAAATACTATACAAATTATAAAATATAATAATTATACTTAAACTACTAAGTAGAGTTATAACTTTATAAATTATTTATTTATTAGATCAATTATTAGAATTAATAAAATACTTAAATATAAATACCTAAAGAATAATTTTTATACTACTTAAATAAGTGATAGATCATCAAATTTCATTTTACCAAAAAACTGTTGTATGCCCATATTTAGGCATGTAACATGTTTTTGTCAAATAAAATTTAGGCAAACAATTGCCTTAGTTTTTTTAAGTGAGGACATGATGGCCTCAAGTCACATTTTATTGATGAACTGCTTCCCTTTTCAAACTCACATCCTCTTAATGTGTCTGATTTTTCATGTATATGCAGCAAACATCTTATTTTTTCGTATTCAAAAAGAAAAATGGTGATAAGCAGAAACATTTGCTTTGTTTAGAATTTAAAGCCTTGAATTGCGTATTTAAAAGTATCAAATAAGTTATTAACTTCAAGAGGCAGATAAAATTAATACTTTTTTCTTCAATTTCGACTTTTTACTATAAAAATCATAAAATTTGAGTACAAGCTAATTTAAGGTAGGCCCTGTATACACATTAACTGTTGGTCATCACTTCATTAGCAGTGTCTATAATTGCTATTTTTTTGGAGAGATGCATAATTTTTTCCAATGTCTCATTTGAAAGTATCAATTTTCCAGCTCTAAAAATACAAGTTGTTTGTACAATTTCCAGTAATTGTGGTGGAGTTGGTGAAGCATGGCCAATGTACCAAATCAAAACAACTTAACATTTTTGGATAAGGTCACGGACAGGCTAAGCAGTTGGTAGGAAGATGAAAGATAAAGATTTAATTTATTGTAACCATTCATAAAATTGTTTTGTTGAAGGCAAGTAATATTGTCAGAATTAGACAATGTTGTTTTTGGGTTTAGTTCATTCTTAATATTTGGTTTGCTTATGAAAGTGTTTGGAGTTTCTTATCTTCCGTTTTGTTTACGAAAATTATTTAGTTTCCTATATAATTGATGTCGTTTTACATTTACAAATTTGATTTAAATATAATTATTTTTTTATTTAGTAAGCTTCAATTGAATTATTAAGAAATGTTTGTTCATATTTGATTATTTTTTTGGTAAGAAAATTAAATTTAAATGCATCACTATAGATGAGGATCTGTTGTCTTTACCTCAGATTAAATTCTGATATAAACTTTAAAATGTAAAGTTAAAAAAAATATTTATACACATTATTGTAATAATTATTGACAATTTTGGAAGATTTTTAATAGTTTTTATATTAATATCTGACATGAAATTCGATCAGAAGATATACAGTACCTGACAGTTCTTTAATAACAACCTTGACAAGTGTAGGTTCCAAGATTAGTTATAATTTGATTTCTTTGTCTTTTAGCTATTCTATTATAAAATATGTCGATACTAAAATATTCTTTGAGAATTAAATAATCAGATAGTACCTCCAGTAATGTGTGTACATTTTATTTCTCTTATTGTTTTTGCATATTTTATTCCCACTTGGTTGTTTTTGTCTGAGAATGTATGCAGATTTTTGGCAACATTCTGGAGTTAGCTGAGGCAAAGTCGGGAGAAAGACGCAGGATTTTCGTCCCCGAGGGATTATATTTTCACTTTACTAAGCTATAAATCATCACATACTAACAAGAAGGCCATAAAATGCTTGTTTTGACTGAGCCAATGAATTCCAAATACTCCAGATAGCTTCAATGGATTATTGTGAGGTAAACGTGAAGGCGTCGCCATAGGGGATTCTAGCGGTTTGCCTTCTGGATCCTGTGATTTTTAGTTAGCATTTGATACTTTACTGGTTAGTTGGCAGTGCTTCTGTGGAATCATGCTTAATCATAGATTATGGATTTTAATGTCCAGCAAAACAATGGACAATAAGAATTATTACTTGGATTCACAGATTTCCAATGAGGCGATTTAAATCTTTTCCGTAATTGTCTGTGTTTGGTTGATAGAAAATAAATAGGTCTAGGCTGATTATTTCTATTCCTAGGAGATCAGTTGAATATCAAGTAAATTCTTTGCTTAATTGTTCAGAGTATTTGCTGCCTACTAGGCAACAGATGGCTAACAAAAGACGAAAGGATCCCATTGGG